TAGTTTTTGTTAGATCTTCATAAACTTCACTAGCACCACGATAATTATCCATCTTTAATGGACGAAGCTCAGGTCCAGTATTTAATATTGCTGATGATTGATTGGAAAATATTGACCGCGTAGGTGATCCTTGAGAAGGTAAAGTTGAATTATTGAGAAATTTGGCAGTAGACGGAGATGGTGGCAACAAATGTGATGAAGACGAAGTATCTTCAACAAGTGATAACTATAATATATATTATTTTTAAGAAAAAAAAAAAAAAAAACAAGTAATAATTAGACCAATGTATTACCAATCTGTCAAAATTCAAATAATGCATATTGCAAATGTATACTTTTGATTTTGAAGGTCTCTGCAGATTGCTTATACTAGTAGCTCGCTGTCTAGGTATGCCTACTCCTAAATTGCTGCCGAATTTACTGCCTATATCTATATCACTCCCCTTACTATCTTTTTGCTGATGCCTAGACTTAATTATAGCTGGATCCTCATTCGTTTGACGATTTGCATTTAACGTCGTTGCAGACCTTGCACGACGCGCTAGTTGCGGATGATATATTTTTCCTTGACCACTTAGCTTATTAAGCGGAAACCCTGCGGATGGGTCCATTTGATTGTCGTAACTTCCATGTCGTGTAGGATTATATTTAATATAGTTCATTTTTCCTGGTGACGATGAATATGACTGATTAAATATATCACTGGTTGATTTAGAAACCATATGACCCATTAGAGGCGGCGTTAACAATCCTCCTGAGCTATTATTGTCATGTACTGAAGAATTAGATATTTTATTTTCTGATGAGTTGTTTAACTGTTCATGATTAATTGAGAAGTAGCCACTTTCTTCTCTTTTCGGAATGTGCTTTGTAACTGATATAGAAGTGGGCGATAAAAGGCCATTAGGCTCCGGTTGAGAGGATGGAATAACTTTTGGGACCGAATCTGATGTTATTTGTGACTTAGCAGCAGGAACAACAATCTCAATTGGTGTTGATGTATCAATTCGGGTAAATGATGAATCTGAAGTAGTAGTAGATAAATCCGACGTGGATAGAGATGTTTTGTTTTCCAGTCCATCATCTTTTGATTTTGTGTTTATATTCTGAAAATTTTCCTTCGATACTGAAGGTGAATCTTCCACTCGTGGCATCAGGGACATAATATTCATAGGTGGTATAGTTATTGTTGGATTACGAAAACTACCTGCTGGTGAAGATTCTTTCGAAATATTGTCCAATTGTGTTTTTTCTTCGTTTTGAAAAAGTTGAAGTAATGGATGATGAGACTCAGAATATTTACGTTGAAATATCGGAGTGGATGGAGATAGAAGTCCATCAGTAAGGATTCGCCCATATCTGACGGTATTGTCTCTGGGTAAAACGGTCCGATCTACATCTTCATTTTCTTGAGATTTTAATTGATTGTCTATCGTTAGCCCCATATGTTCCTCATCCTCGATAACAGGAGATAATTGGTCCGAACCGTTATTATGTAATGATCCTAGAGAACGCGATTTGCGATGTGTTACAGTATTTTGCACTGTCTGATAAAAAAAAATTTCAACCTCTAATTAATCCTCAATTAATGATTTGAATAAAACATAGGAATTTAACTTACATCAAATACCCAAGCATCCTCTTCTTCTTTTTGACCATCTTCAAAATCGTAAGAGTCGCTTTCACTAAATAAATTGAATGTTGGCTATATTATCTACAAAATATTAAATTAAATAACACACGTATATGTTACCTCGATGGGGTTCCATACGGATCCGAAAAAGACTGACGATAGCCGGTTGTCTGTTTCCATTGCTCAAATCGTGCAATAAGATCACGCAATATTCCATTTTGATACTTTGAAGAACTCTTTATGAATTTAGTTTTCATCAAATCATCTGCTGTTGGACGCTATATGTACACATAAAAATTAAATATTCTTAATCATATACCACTATAACAGACTTAAAATTAACATTATAAACATACATCTTCAGATATTTCATTGAGACAAATGGCTACAAACTCTTTTAATGGTGCAGAATAAGGACCTTCGAGCGTAGCCGGTCTATTCTTAGGAATAAGTTGAATGGCTCTCATTGCACTCTGATCATGATATGGTGGATTACCGGTTGTGATTTCGTATACGGTAATACCTAAAGACCATATATCAGCCTAGGTCAATTAATTGATTATTCGCAATCAGGTTAGAAAGAAATATATGACACTATCTATAAAAGTCATTAACAAAATAGCCAACCTTTGTATCATATGCAGCACCTTCGGTGATTACTTCAGGTGCCATCCAATATCTAATCATAAAAAATTATAAAGT